GCAACGGGGAAAGGCGCTATGCTGCTGCTCTGAAGAAGGGGCCATGAGCTGAGGGATGCCGGCCTCTGGGGGAGCTGGAACAGGTGGAAGGCATCTCCTCCTCAGGGCCTCCTGTAGGACCAGCCCTGTCCCCGTGGACCATAACCCAGGGAGGTTCATGCCAGACTCTGTCCAGGGGAACAGAGAATGAGAGAGGATGAATGTGTGTTGTTCTTTCATTTTTAATTTCTTTGAGATTAAGTGATTACATTAATCTCACAGTATTGTGGGGTAGTGATCTATTTAGCTGAAGTCATAAACACATTTTAACCTTCAAAAGGTAAATTGTCATTTATCATGGTCTATAAAGCTTATGAACTCTAGAAATGTGGACTATACAACTATTTCTTCCACATTGGATGATACGTACGTTTCTTTCCTTCCTTTTGCTTAGTGTAAGCTGTTCCCTTCCCTCCCTCCAATCACTGCCCTTGAATTGCTTACTTTTTCATCCATGTCCACTACAGCTGATGGGCCCCTCTGTTGTATTTTCTCCCTGTTTCCCTCTCATTCTGTGTCCTCCTCCCTCAAATGTGCACATGTGTATACCATATGTGGGGTCAAGAACAGAGAGTCATCTAAAAACAATGCAACAAATTAAGAAGATGTCCTTTGTTTCTTGAGTCCTGTTTAGTTTGTCATATATCCTTGCATTTTGGATTTATCATCCATATTTCAGGGAGACCACGTGCCGTTTCTCTCTCTGATCTTGGCTTATTTCACTCAACATGATTTGTTCTAGTTCCATCCATTTCTCTGTGAATGCCATTATTTTGTTCTTTCTAATAGTTGCATAATATTCCATTGTATATAGATACCACAGTTTTGGGATCCACTCATCTGTAGTGGGGCATCTGGGTAGTTTCCATATCTTGGCTATTGCGAACAGTGCAGCAATGAACATGGAGGTGTAGATTCCCTGTGGTGTCCTGGATCCTGTTGTTCAGGGTAGATGTCTAGGAGTGGTGTGGTTGGGTTGTAGGGTATGCTATATTTAGCTTTCTGAGGAAGCTCCAGACTGCTGTCCAGAGGGGTTGTATTAGTGTACATTCCCACCAGGAATGCAATAGGGTTCCTCTTTCTCCACATCCCCGCCAGCATTTATTGTTGTTTGAATTTAGGATGTGGGCCATTCTGACTGGAATAAGGTGTATCTCAGGGTTGTCTTTATTTGCATTTCCTTTACAGCCAGGGATGATGAACATTTCCTCATGTGTTTGTTGGCCATTTTTATCTTTTCTTCTGAGAAGTTTCTCTTTAGCTCCCTTGCCCATTTAGTAATTGGTTTGTAAGATTTGGGAGGGATTAGGTTCTTGAGTTCCCTGTATATACTGGATATTAGGCCTTTGTCTGATATGTTGCTGGTGAATCTCTTTTCCCACTTAGTTGGCTGTCTTTCTAGTTTGGCAGCTATGTCTTTAGCTGTGCAGAACCTTTTTATTTTAAGGTATTCCCATTTATAAATTCTCTCTCCAATCTGTTGTGACCCTGGGACTCTGTTCAGGAAGTTCCTGCCTGTGCCTGTAAGTTCTAGTGTCTCTCCTACTCTGTCCTGCAGTAGTTCTGAGTTTTAGGTTTGATGTTAATGTCATTAATACATTTTGAGTTGATGTTGGTGCATGGTGACAGGCTGGGGTCTACTTTTAGTTTTCTGCATGTGGCCGCCCAGTTTTCCCAGCACTAATAGTTGAAGAGTCTATGTTTCTTCCACTGTATGTCTTTGGCTCCTTTGTTGAATATCAGCTGACTGTAAGCATGTGGTTTTATTTCTGGGTCTTCAAATCTCCATTGGTCTTCTGGTCTATTTTTGTGCCAATACCAGGCTGTTTTAGTTATTATGGCTCTATAACAGAGCTTAAAATCTTGTATTGTGATCCCTCCAGCATTGCTTCTTTTGCCTAGAATTTCTTTGGCTATTCTAGGTCTTTTGTTATTCCATATGAATTTTTGGATTGTTTTTTCTATTTCAGTAAAGAATGTTATTGGGATTTTGATGGGAATTGCATCGAATTTGTGCATCATTTTTAGCAGTATGGCCAGTTTCACAATATTGATTCTGCCCATCCAAGGACATGGAAGGTCTTTCCACTTCCTGGTGTCCTCTTTATTTCTTTAGGCTTCTCTAGTTTTCACTAAATAGGTCCATCTTTGGTTAGGTTAATTCCTAGATATTTTATTTGGGAGGGGGTGGTTATTGTGAATGGGGTTGTTTTCCTGATTTTCCTTTCTGCTTGTACATTGTTGGTGTACAGAAAGGCAACTGGTTTTTGAGGGTTAATTTTGTATCTTGCTACTTTGCCAAAGTGGTTGATAGGTTCCAGGAGTTTGGGAGAGGAGTTTTTGAGGTCATTTAGGTATAAGATCATGTCATCTGCAAATAGGGATAGTTTAATTTCTTCCTTCCCTGTGTGCATCCCTTTAATGTCCTTCTCTTGGCTTATTGCTCTAAGGATCCCAAAACTGTATTGAAGAGGAGTGGAGAGAGTGGGCATCCTTGCCTTGTTTCTGATTTTAGGGGAATTGGTTGTAGTTTTTCCCCATTTAGTATGATGTCTGTTGGTCTGTCATATATGGCTTTTATTGTTTTAAATATTGTTCTTTCTATTCCTATTTTCTCCAGAGCTTTTAACGTGAATGGGTGTTGTATTTTATCAAAAGCCTTTTTCCACATCAATAATCATGTGGCTCTTGACCTTGACTCTGTTGATGTGATGGATTATGTATGTGATTGATTTACATATTTTAAACCATCCATGCATCTCTAGAATGAAGCCTACATGATCATAATGTATGATTTTATTTATTTATTTATTTTTTGTCGGTCGTGGGGCTTGAACTCTGGGCCTGGGCACTGTCCCTCAGCTCTTCAGCTCAAGGCGAGTGCTCTACCACTTGAGCTACAGCGCCACTTCCGGTTTTCTGGTGGTTTTTATTGGAGATAGGAGTCTCACGGTCTCTCCTGCCCGGGCTGGCTTTGAACCGCGATCCTCAGATCTCAGCCTCCTGAGTAGCTAGGATTACAGGCGTGAGCCACCAGCGCCCGGCATGTATGATTTTTTTTATATGTTTCTGGATTCTGTTGGCTAAAGTTTTATTGAGGAGCTTTATATCTGTGTTCATCAAGGAGATTGGTCTGTAGTTTTTTTTTTTTGGATCTTTGCCTGGTTTGGGGATGAGTGTGATATTGGCTTCATAGAATGAGTTTGGGATTTCTCCCTCTGCTTCTATTTAATGGATGAGCTTGAGGAGTTCCTCTCTAAAAGTCTTATAGAATTCTGTAGTGAATCTGTCTGGGCCTGGGCCTTTCTTTATTGGAAAACTTCTGATTGCTTTCTCTAGCTCATTGTAAGTTATTGGGTTATTTAGTTTATTTATATCTTCTTGGTTCAATTTGGGCAATTATACTTCTGTAGAAATTCACTTCTGCTAAGTTTTCCTTCTTTAGTGAGTATAGATTCTAGAAATAGTTCTTTATGATCATTTGGATGTCTTGGATGTTTGTTGTAATGTTTCCTGTGGCATCCCTGATCTTATTGATTTGGGTCTCCTCTCTTGAATGTGTCTCATTTTAAATTTCCCTGTTGCTGTGATTTGTTACAAACAAGGGTTGTACCTCAGTCCTGTTGGTGGTGCTGTAACAAAATACTATAGGAGGCTAACCCGAGCAGTAAAGTCTGTGAAACTCTATGTATGTATGTATATATGTATGTATTTGCCAGTCCTGGAGCGTGAACTCAGGGCCTGGGCACTGTCCCTGATCATCTTTTGCTCAAGGCTAGCACTCTACCTCTTGAGCCACAGTGCCACTTCCAGCTTTTTCTGTCTATGTGGTACTGAGAAATAAAACCCAGGGTTTCATGCATGCTAGGCAAACACTCTACCACTAAGCCACATTCCCAGCCCCATAAGACTCTTATCTGCAGTTAACTAGCAAAAAGTCACTAGTGGAGCTGTGGTTCAAGTGGTAGAGGGGACTGGTTATGTGGCCAGGCCCTGAGTTCAAGCCCCAGGACTGGCACCATGCACACACACACACACACACACACACACACACACACACACATTGGTAGAGTGCTACCCTTGAGCAAAAACAGCCAAAGGGCAGCACCTAAGCCCTGAGTTCTGAGTTCAAGCCCTAGTCCTTGGACATGCATACATGCATACACACACACACACACACACACACACACACACACACACAGAGGCACAGATAAAGTGAGTGGCTTATAAACAGTAGAAATCTGTTTCTTGAAGTTCTGGAGCTGGGGGAAGTCAAGATGAGGGCGAGGATTAGGCCAGGTCTGGCCCTTCCCCCAGCTTGTGCACTGCTGAGGTGTACTGTGTGTTCTCCCATGACAGAGCGAATTGGGGTCTCTCTTGGGTTTCTTTCATAGGGACAAAGGGCCTCACCTCCCTGGCCTCCTCCCTTACTCCATTCCCCACCCTACCCCCCCCCTGTAATATCATCACTGAGGGAGCCAGCATGTTAACATATAGATTTGGGGGTTGGCAGGCATTTTCCTGACCTCTTTGAGATTTGGTTCTACTTCTGCAGCACAGAGATGATAATCAATAAACATCCTAAAGATCAATGTCACGCAGTGTGGCTTTCAGGTTTATTAGGGGACCGCTCCCTCCTCTTGAGTGTAAGGTACTCAGTGCAGATTAGAGACTCAGGAGGAAAATTCTAAGGAGGAAGCTGAAGTCTCAGGTCAGGGATGTCCGAAAGGGGGGGTGAGTGACTTGGTCCGCAGCCAATCTCAGGAGGGAAGTGAACAATCAAAGTTCTCATTCTTCCAGTCTCATTCTGGGACCTCCACCTCTGCCTGCCCCCCCCATCCCACCCTCCCCCCCATCCCCGCCCTTGCGGTCCAGGCTGCAAAGCTTACAGAATCACACACATGGGTGAGAATGCACTTGAGTGTTTACTAGGGAAAGGGGTGAGGGACAGGAGGCGGCTGTCACACTTTCTTGGTAACGCTTTTGGGGATGGCGAGCTCGTAGATCCGGGGGGATGCATGAGCCACCAGAGAGGCCGGGGAGACACGGAAGGGGTTGTAGCCTTCGTTGAGATCCCTGCGGACCTTAGGCCGAGCCAGGGAGAGGATCCGCTCACTGGCCACTGCCTTCTTGGTGCCATTCAGGACCTCCCAGTGAGGACTGCGGTCAGGTATGCACTGTTCCCACTGGGCCTTGGGCACTAGCGTGTAAGGAGAGGGACAAGCACGGGGCTCAGCCTTTCAGCCAAGCTCTAAGCCCTAGTGGGGATATCCGCACAAGAAGGACAGAACACAGCTAGGTCCTTCCACCCTGGAATATCATGTAGCCACGAATAAGATAATGTTACCGTGTGAAGGGGCTTTGAGGACATCATGCTCAGTGAGGCACAAAAGGCCCCACAGGCCAAGCATGGGTGGCTCACACCTGTAGCTACTCAGGAGGCTGAGATCTGAGGATCACAGTTCAAAGTCAGCCCCGGCAGGAAAGTCTGTGAGACTTTTATCTCCAATTAACCACCAGGAAACTGGAAGTGGTGCTTGGCTCAAAGTAGGAGAGTGTTAACCTTAGATGAAGAGCTCAGGAAGAGCATCCAGGCCCTGAGTTCAAACCCCATGACTGACAAAAAAGAAAAAAAAAAAAGGCCTGTGCTAGGGCTAGAGAGGACACTGGGTGACAGCTCACAGGGGGACTCAACTTCTTGTGGGGGTGATAGAAGGTTTTAGAACTGAATAGTAGTGATGGTTGCACAATTCTAAGAAGATGAAATTATCCAAGCACCGGTGGCTCAGGCCTGTAATCCTATCTATTCAGGAGGCTTATATTTGAGAATTGCAGTTCAAAGCCAGCCTGGGCAGAAGAGTCCTTGAGGGGCTGGGAAGGTGGCTCAGTGGTAGAGCGCTTGCCTTGCATGCAGGAGGCCCTGGGTTCGGTTCTTCAGCACCACATAAGCAAAATGAAAAAAGCCAGAAGTGGCACTGTGGCTCAAGTGGTAGAGCGCTAGCCTTGAGCTAAAGAGCTTCCAGGCCCAGAATTCAGGCCCCACAACTGGACCCAAAAAAAAAAAAAAAAAAGAAGAAGAGTCCTTGAGACTCTTATCTCCAATGAACCACCAGAAACCCAGAAGTGGTGCTGTGGCTCGAGTGGTAGAGCTATCGCCTTGAGCTGAAGAGCTCAGGCACAGCTCAGGCCCAGAGTTCAAGCCCTACAACTGGGGGGGGGGGAGGAAGGGGAGAGGCCGGGAGGGGGATGGAATTTTAAGGCTGGTCAGGCACCAGTGGCTCATGTTTATAATCCTAGCCTGAGATCTAATGATTGAGGTTGAAAAACAGCTCAGGGAAGGACAGACTATAAGACGCTTATCTCCAATTAACCAGCAAAACTTCCAAAGTGGAGCTGTGGTTCAAGTGATAGAGTGTCAGCCTTGAATGAAAAGGCCAAGCAAGAGCACACTACACCCTGAGATTGAGTTCGAGGCCCAGTGTTGGCACAGAAAGTAAATGTATATATTTTTTAAAAGTCTGGTACCAGTGGTTCAGACCTGTAATTTTAGGAGACTGAGATCTAAGGATCACTGTTGGAAGCCAGCCCAGCTGGAAAAGTCCACGAGAGTCTTAGCCTCCGATGAGCCACCAAAATCTGTAAGTGTATCTGTGGCTCAAGTGGTAGAGCACTAGCCTTAAGCAAAAAAGTTCAGGGACATGCCTAGGCCCTGAGTCACACACACACACACACACACACACACACACACACACACACACACACACACACACACACACACACACACACACAC